GACTAAAATGTTCTCTTCTCCTCTGTGACACAGATCATAATTCTATCAAAGTGAGCCATTCCTTTCTCAACCACAGATATATCAAATCCAATCACTGCAAATACACATGAACCAAACCCTGTTATCTTTTATAGACCTAAACTTTGAGCCTCATTATCTTCTGTTTATTTTCCCTCCTTTCTGGTTTCCAGTTTTAGAAATAACTCCTTTGCTTCCACATTCAGCAGGATTTCTGGTCCTAAAACTAATCAACCAGGAAAATTAAGGATGTTTGGAACTATTCTAATTTTTTTTTCTGGACAATGCAATTTTAGGACCATCTAAGAAGTCATGTGGAAGACTGATTAGATACTTGCTTTTAAGTTCCCTTGAGTTGGATGATTCAAATGAAGATTCTTAATATTTTATCTGTTGGTGTCCTTTTGTTGATATATAAAATTCAGACTGAGTAATTTCTGAGAAATTGTAAGGTCACATTTATTCTTGTGACATACTTTCCCAAGTCCTAATAGGTCTCCTTGATTTCTCTATGGAAAGAGGATGTCAAAGTTTCCAAACACTGCTTTTTTTGTTTTTGAAACTGAGTCTCACTGTGTTGTCCAGGTTGACTTCAAGTTTCTGGGCTCAGAAAATCCTCCTGCCTCAGCTCCCAAGTACCTGGGACTACAGGAGAGTACTATTTTGCTCAGTTCAGACATTTCTTTATGATGATGTCATGTGACTTTTAGAATGTTTCTGGTCAGGATAATGAAGATCTAAAGATTCAGTGCTCCTGGTGGAACAGATTCAGGATACAGGTAACAGTGATATCTAGACTCTTTAAGAAACACTACTGTAAGACACAAGTTTATCTTTTAAAACCAATGGTCTTAAAAAAAATAAACTAAAAATGCCTGGTGAGAGGTGTTCTTCCAAATACTTCTTTAGTTCTGACATTAAACAAATTCAGCATAATAGGACATTAAGCAAATACTGATAGTTATTTAAGATAATTCCAGAGCAAACTACCTGATGCTTTGTATGGATTAAGCAGATTCATGAAGGTTTGTGTATCAGATGCAATTTTTCTCCAGTTAGATAAGCTTAAAACCATCAAGAGTTTTAATGATGCCTCCAACAAAGAAATTAGCAAAACTGTATCTGAGTCAAGATAGGAAAATCTAATTTAGGTTTGTTAATTCTGTTAGAATGGTATCAGTCACAGATACATTAATTAGAAAAATATTTTAATTTGGAATATTTCTAAATTTGATCTCTGCACAAAGGAACACAGACATGGTTCTCTTTGCTCGGGAGAAGTATTGTTTGGGTCAGAATTAAATTATGTTATTTTTGAATTAATGCTCTGAGAGAATATCCAAATGTTGCCAATTAAGGTATTATAAAAGTGGATGGGTAGGAATATAAAAGTCATTACATTCCCCGTGTAATAGAAATAGAAAAACTATAGAAGTTACTCCATATATATTGTGTTTACAGCAAAGATGATGTAAAAAAATAAATCTCTAAAAAATTTCAAGTAAGCATACTATGTGAAATGCACATTTATTAGGAGTAAGAAACTTCTGAAAACCATGATTTGTAAAACAAGCAAAAAAGCTGTATTATTATAGTAGTAAATATCTGTAAATGTATTAGAGAATAATTTATGTGTTCAACTAAACATCCAAATCATACTGTATAAATCATTTTTATTTTAAATATGAACTGTTATCAATGTGCCAAGTAGATTTAAAAGTACTTTTTCCTTAAGTTATGAAATAAGGGCGATTTTTTCATTGTGGCATTATGTTTTGCAGTGATTTTAACCTAGTTCACTTGTCATCAGAATTATGCATTTTTCACAATGATTGGCCATTCTTTCACAATGTACAATGTAATGCTTTTTTCTAAAGTTCTAATGGTTAAATTGTGAACTTAAAATTATAGTATGATCACATTTCACATAACCAATGGTGCTAGTTTATTTTCCTATAACATTTTAAAAATAAATTTGCTAAGTAAAATTTGAATCCTTGGGCATCCTACTAATTACCATTGAAACAATTTCTTTTTGCTTTTTCCTTTGTCATCTTTAATCCCCAACATGACAACATAATATATTTTGATTTCTTGACTTGCATGGTCACATCAATCAATACAGCTATAGGTCTGCATCACCCTCTGCTTTTCCTTCTTTTCAATTTTGTAACCACTCACCAAATGTGTGTATTACTGAGTAAGAAATCTAAGACTTGGAACCCTTCCCTCTTTGCTTCTATTCCACACAGCATCATTAGCATGATCTCAAACACTGCCATAATCCTTTTCCCTCCCTAGCTAAGAACAGTTGGTAACTTGCTACGGGCTTATATATATATATATATGTATATATATATATATATATACCTTTTATCCTAAGAGTTAATATTCTCCACTCCTCTGACCTTTGTCTTTCAGTAATCTCATTTTTATTCCTACTCTTTGGCAGAGTCTCTCTGCTACTTCCAAGACACCTGGCTACTATTAGCACATGAAATTTGTCTCTAACTACTTTTCTGCCTATGCAGATGTCACCCTGAATCACGGGGAGTCCATTGCTTACTGAGTCAACCCATTCCATTTTTGGAAAATTCTGTCAAGAGAGCTTTCTTCTTTACTATGCAAATCAAATACACTAACTGCATGATTTTCACAGTTATCTTTGTGTATATATTTTCTAATAAGTTTTTCTTTCTTACTTGTTTTATACAGTGGTGCTTTCTCTAAGCTGCAAGGAAGGGACTTTGCACCTGCCCTTTCTATATTTTCATGCATAGATCCACCCTCCCACTACTTCACAACCACAAGAGCATAAGCTCTAATTTGGGGCATAGCAAATACTTAAATATTTGATGACTAAGCCACCTTCTAAATATAGAACTATGTGTCTATGCGAATATTTATACTAAACTGTACTTATTGAAGGATACAAAATATGTGATTAGGAAGTGATTCTGTGAATTTTAATTGTAGAGATTAAATGCAAGCCTAGTCATATGTTTATGCACTCCCCACACACAGAAAAATGCCTGAGTATTACTAATTACTTAACTAAGAAAACTTTATGCATTATATATCTATAATCAGTTGACAAAGAAAATCTTACATGCTGTGCTTCCATCCAGATTATGAATAGTTTAGTTTTCTACAGCTGTAATGTGTTATTTCCCAGATAACAGAAATAATTGGCATGTTTAGTTGTACATTTGCAATTTAATATAATGCAGGATAATATTTGTAATTTAGCCTACATTTTATAACATGAATCTGAGAAAATATCTTGTCACTGTTACTCCAAGAATACAATCATAATTTTCAAATAATCTATGTAGCCAAATAATCTACGTAGCCTGACTTTTTATTAGTATTGCTGAGTTGTTAACATCTCTGAAAGTCATTGCATTTTAAACTATTTCAAAAAACTGTTTTGATAGCAATTTTAATTGAACCTTCTGTGAAGTTACTTTACTCTTGGTAATCAGCAATAGCCTATAAGTACATTTCACTCAGAAACTTTAATGCTTCTACAGTAATCTGAAAGTAGACACATAAGTACATCTAGGTGGGTTTCTTCCTCTGCCTTACCTCTACCCTATCAACAGCTTCTATAACCAAGGGTGGCAACAGACCATAGAGAGGAGAGCAACAGCTGCTTTCCATTTGTCTCAATGTGGAAATCATTGCCAGGAAAGCTAGATAGGGTCACAATGAATTGCTGTCTTGTACAAAGATAAACATGTGATAAACTTTTCCCTAAGGCTTCCTTTTCACAATGAATCCTCTGTGACCTAATAAATAGTTGTTGGTAGAATGGCTGCTTAGGGTTAGGAGAGCAGCTCCTGCTCATACAGCAGACTGAATCTCTAGGGGATGATTGCCTTGGTGTAAAGTGGATTGGGCAGGTGTGGAGACCATTGTGGGGGTGGTTATCTGTATCCCACTTTGTTATGCTTCTTTGCAGGTCCTGAATTATCAACAATGAATTCTTTTCAAAGTACTTATTACTAGATTTTTTAAAGCCCACTAATCATCTATACCTGCTAATCATCTATGTAACTTCAGAAGGCAAATTCATGAGGCTCAGAGCTAATTATGCATTCATTATGCCTTTAGATATCTGGATGAAAGTCGTGTTTTAACACTCAATCCCTTCCCTAAAATTCATTTCCACAAGTGAGAATTTAATGATATATTTACTTTAAAGGTTTGCTTTTGGGGAAAATGATTATTCTGGTTAGCTTCACTTGAAAGAATATAGGCTTGTACCTTATGAAATCTGTAAGCATCTAGAAAAATTATGACCTTTGAAAACATAACTAATTCAGAGTGTGTTGAAAGCCATGTTGTGGCTATTCCTGGGTTGAAATGATCCCTTTATACCTATGCGAAGTATGAGAGTCACAGCCTCCATGGCACCTAAGTTCCATTGATTAAACATAAGGACCAGGCAGCTGTGGAAGCAGTATAAATGAGGGCAAATTGAAGCTTTGTGTCCAACTCTAAAGTCAGTACATTTAAACAATAAAAATAATGATTGTTAAATAATACAGTTTTTAAATGTGATCACTAATGAATTTTCTCTTATAAACCATTTCTTCTACCATTCATAGTAAATCTATCACATTATATATAATTAGTCAACTAGAAACAAATATTCATCTCTTGTGTACCTCTCCATTTGATCTTTTTGCTTTCCTTTTACTCAGCAGTTTCGAACAATGTCATTCTTCAGTAATAATATTCACAACTCCTAGGTACAGGTCATATACTCAGTTGTGAAGAGTTATCTTCCTATGTTTCTAACAGCAGAGTGCAGTATTTTGCAAGGAGAGATAACTTTGTGATTTAGTACATATTCATTTCTGTTAGACTGTGCTTTTTTTGTGCCCTGATTATACAGCTAAGTTATAATATGTGCAAAATATTTTTGGCGACAATTAATTTTTTTCTAAAAACATAAGTAGAAAAATACCACTGTGACTGAGTTCTGGATTTAGTGAGAACAAAGGCAAAGTGAATTTCAGGTGGGGAAAGGCTGCATTTTTCTAGATGTCAGAGTCCACTCCAGAACCACATTTGCGGCAGAAGATGTCCATGTCTTGGGTCAGGAAGCCTTCACCCACCAAGGAGACAGAACACTTCCCACAGTTGAAGCACTCGCTATGCCACTGGCGGTCTTGAAAACAGATGAACTTGGCACCTCTGAGACCTGCAAAGGATTGGAGAAAAAGTATAATTAATTCTTTAAAGGAACAGATAAGCATCCTGACAGGTACTCTTCTAGAAACTAGGGATAGAGCAGTTAAAAAAGTCTGTTGTAGACAGAGACAGTGTAGAAGCAGGTAACCCCAAAATGAAAGCTGCCCTTCTGTCCTTGTGACCAGGTGGGAACATCAGCCATATACAGCTTCCTTTTATAAGACCCAATAAGATGCCCGGCTAAATTCTGCTACAATCCACAAAGGTATAATCTGGATATACATATCATGTATTTTGCAAACAGATAAGAATTATTTAAGATAGTTAAAGAAATACCATGCAGTGTAGAGTGAATGCAGTACAGGTTTTGAAGTCAAAGATGGCTAAGTTTGAAATATCTTTCCCTTTTCTGTAGGCGTGACCCAGTCTTCTTAGATGCAAAATGGAATAAATGTGTGTCTGGTGCTTTAATGACTTTTAGTTCTGTTTTCTTCATTTTTCCATGCTTAGTTTTACTTGGAGTAAGTCTGATGGTCATACTGTAGTTTGGGGAACAATTTCTAGAAATCGCAAATAGAAAATTTTATCCAGGATATTAGAAGGCTATCCTGAGGTGATATCTAAGTACATTGCCCAGAGACAACTTCAGCTTAGGTTTCCAATGGAGATCTATGAATCTGATCTCCGTCTCTACTATAGTACCCTACCCACAGATTAATTTCTAAGAAGTGCCTCATTTGCACTTTAACTTGAGCTGTAGTGTTCTTTTTTAAAGAAGTAGTAGAATTTGAGTTTCCAGTGACACTCTGATCTGTATTTCCCTCATTTGATTCCAGGGTACAGTTCAAGAAATTGATTTTGAGAAGTTGTAGAGAAAGAGAAAAGGTCTAGAAGTTGGGAAGAGGCTGAGGTGCCAAGGTGTGGGTCTATTTATGTGACATAATTTCTCTAAGTGATCTTCATGCTGTGGGTTTCCTGTGATTTGTGTATCATCCATGGAATGAAGATAAAATAGTTCACGTGTTGATTTACATGTAATCTCTCAACTCTCCATTTGGAATGGTAAAGCAAAAAGTGTGAATAAGCATACTATTTCAAATAAATTCTCCATTAATATGATAGTGAACCTTTGTTTTTAATCCTAAAAACTCATTTGATGTCTTTATGTAGAGCTTAGTATTTCATAGAAAAATTTGCATCAAATTCCTACATTCATTTGTTGATTAAATTTGAAGCTTGCATGTCTATGATGTTATCATCATTACTTTCCAATAAGAGTAAATTAGCAGCATGGCAATGAGCTCCCTTGAAGTTATTTGAAGCATTAATAAGTTGGCTGCAACAATAATGTTCTATATACATATAAATAATCTCTATCCATTAAACTCAATATTGCACAATATGTAGCACTTTGATACTTATGAATTTTTCTGAATTTTATTACTAAAACTTTTGTGAGTGGCAAATGTAAAATTAATTTAAGAATTTTACAAAGAATAAAAAAATTGAGACAGCTGGTAGTAGGACTTCAAGAAAGGCCTAACCCAACAAGCAAGATGTTTATAAATTTTCTAAATTTGGATATGTTTACTCCTTAGGTCATGAGGTCATCCAGGAAATTGGTCTTTGGCATATGGTTTATCTGGCTCCATATGTTCCTGACAAATCAACAGAATATGAGGAGGCATCTGTTAAACCCTGGATTTGTCAGTCACCAGCATATATTTACTACCTCATATAACTCTTGTCTGACCCTCATAGGGTAGATATAGCATTATCTTCCACTAGTAGACAAAAACTGAGGAATAGAAGAGTTCAAACACTTGCTTGGTAACTGGAAGATCTGATTCCTACCCAGGTAGTCTGGCTTTAGAACCTGTGCTATTAGCTTCACCAAATTAAGTTTGACTGTGTTTTGTAAATAACATAACTAGCATTAGTATTTCTCTCTGGAGAAACTTTAACATTTGAAATTCCATTTTCTCTAAATAAGCAGAAATGGAGGAAAGCTAACGTGATCTTTTTTCAGGCCTCTTTTTGCAAATATGGCAAGGGAAGATTTCTAGAGCTGAGTTATTTATCCATGGTTACAAGGTAGTCCAAGGCCTAGGCAAGACTATGTTCTTTTTCTCCTCAACCTAGAGGATTTTCATTTCAACAAGCTGCTTCATTTATCTCAGATAGTTCAAGAGGTTAATTAACTCATCAAAAAAGAGGAGACAAAATTGTAATTATTTCTGGAGTGTGTTCAAAGGAAGCAAATTCATTGTAGCAGGACTAAAAAATTGAGCTTGGTGGCTCATACACAGATTTAGTTAATGTAACAGTATTCTGAAAGTATTACTACATAGATTGCTTCCTTTAAAATTTAATTTTAATTGATAAAAGTCATGTATAGTTATGATATGTAACATGATGTCTTGATAGATGTATGTACTGTGGAATGACTAAATCAAGTTATTTAAGATGTGTTACCTCATACAATCATTTTATTATACTGAGTACATTTAAAATCTATTGTTTAATCAATTTTCAAGTATATAATATTAACTGTAGCCTCTACAGTATATGAGAGATCTACTGAACTTATTCCTTCTGTTCAGTTGAAATCATATACCCTTTTATCAAGAAAAAATTACTTCTTAAAGTATGAATGCTCAACTTTTTGAAGAGTGACACATGCCATTATCACATTATCTGAATTCCCTATAGTATATTAACTCAAATAGCTCAGTTTTAAAGAAGCATTACCTCTGGAGATATATATATATATATATATGTATATATGTATGTATAGAATATATATTATTGAATGATATATATTTAACAGATCATGAGATCAAGATATTATTTGAAAGTGAAGTTGCAAGGTTTTGCTGCTGTTTCAGCCCCTGGTGTCTCAATCAGAGAAGCAAAATTGATTAAGAGAATTATTAGACGTTCCTTTAGACTGTTCTAACTTAAATACATAATACCACATTTGGGTTACTTTGGGTCTGATCTTTTGCTCTTGATAACCTTTATGGCCCCGTGTATAACAATGTTTTTTTTCTGTCAGAACTTAGTAAACTTGGCTCAGTGACTTATATGGAGCAATTCATCACAAAAATCACCTAGACACAAACTTTTGACAGATCAGAATTGAAACTTACCAAGTTTATGACTTGGGTAGGATCTTTGAGGTCATTATTAGCTATTTGAATACCAAGAGAGTTGTGAAATCCATCTTGAGTTAATTAATTTTCCTACTCAACTGTCTTTCTGTTCTAGCCCAATTCAAGAAAAGTTTAGAATAAATGTGATTGCAGAGTTTAGAGTTCCAGGTACAGGTGCACAACTGGAAGTCCCACTTTACTAACTAGAAGTGATGCAAACAACACAAGCAAACTCCCTGTGTAGCTATCTTTAACTAAACTAGCAATGTTTCTCTTTTTCTCTTTTATGTCTTTTCTTCTACAAAATCAGAGAATAGGAGGGCAGAACAGGTTCTGGGGGTGTGTGGTAGAAGGGAGGGTTGGCACCGGTGGTAAGGGATAGGTGGCAGGAAAAGGGGTGAATATGGTGCAAATAATGTGTACACGTGTATGTAAATGCAGAAGTGATACCGTTGAAACTGTTCCAGGAATTTGGGGAGGGGAATGAAGGAGAGCAGTGGAGGGGGTATGATATATTTGATACATTGTAAGAACCTTTGTAAATGCTACAATGTACCTCCACCCAGCACAACAGTAAAGGAAAAAAAGTGATGGAAATGGTGGCTCATTCCCTTGGATGCAAATGCCACCAGATGTACAGAAGACAGGAAAGCAGAATGGTTAGAAACACATGAGTGGAAACCAATAGTCTGGAATTGCTAACAAGTTCTTGCAAGAGCCAAAGAGGTGGCATAGCTAAGTATCAGAGGAAGGGTTTGAGGAAGAGAGGGGGCTTGCCCCACGTGATGGGGTAAGCACTCAGTTTCCTATGACGGTGACCCTACTTGGGGAATTTGAAGACAGCTTGCTCACCTGTGACAAGCTTTTCTTTTGCTTTTGGCAGCAAAGATGGATTCAATGTGAGTTTTCATCAATTGTGTGCAGGCCAGATAAGACCTGTTGGCTGACCAGACATAGCTGATGTACAATCATAAGATTCTGGGAAGTATGGTGCCTTGTGAAGACACAGACGTGTGCTTAACCTATGTGATTTGCTCTCTTACTTTGAAAGTGGGTAAAAGTCTTCAAGTTAGAGTTTGCAGTGAAACTCTGCCCCTTCATTGGAAGATGCAAAATGCATGTAGATTCAACTTTTGTTATATTTATCTGAACTTAAAAAATGAAATATGGTCTAAAAATACTAGGAATGGAGAGTAGAAATATAATTCTGCCTGGTTAAGTGACATAAATTGCCGGGAAGAATAGCTGGATTTCTTAAATATCATGCTGACTTCAGTTCCTTTACATTTTTAGAGATGGCTCTGAGGAAAACATAATGCATTTTTTAAAAACTTTAAAAAGCTATTTAACATGTATCAATTTCCCAAGTATGTTAATTTTCAAATCATATCATTTGTATTTTGTTTCTTCAGAAGAATGCTACATTGTTTTCTTTCAACTATTCATAATTAAAGTTTGTCAGAAATGAATAGAGAGAAAAGAGTAGTACATTTGTTAGAAGCATCTTAAAATAAAGTTTAATTAATTCCTGACCTATGCTATTCTAATCATCACAGCTTCAGATAGTTGCACTTAATTAAACTCTTTTGTATTTTAAGCCTCCTTGGCCTTTGTTTGTAATTAAGCAGAAATCTGATTTATTAGCACTCCTTCTTTCCACTCCATCCCTCAGTGAGGTTCAAATCAGGCCTCTTGATTAAGATCTTCTCTGACCTCTCAGTGCATCCTGTGCTCCTCCCTCGAACTATGACTTTACTAGAGTTTGTATCATTAGATATACCATTTTACAGAGGATAAGATGTGCAAATTACACTCAGTCCTTTCCTGTGGAGGTCTATGCAATATTTCAACTTATATCTGTTTGTTTCTGTTTGTTTATCTCAAAAGGAAATATAATTTAAAGATTGACTTGAATTTCCTAAGTTAACTAGGTAGCATTTTACATAGTTTTAAGTGTGCCATTGTGGAATCATATTGAACTGAAGAACTTACCAGTGATGGGTTTGGTACAGGCTGCACACTTTTTAGCATAAAGATGGTTGTAGCAGTCTAAACAGAATGGATAATCATCTCTGGACATAAATTCCTCTTCACAAAGCTCTTTCCTGCAACCACTACACAGAAAACACTCTTTATGCCATATCTGGTCACGAAATGTTATACCACCTGAAGTTATCACCTGCCAAAGGGTAACAAAAAATGGCAATGAATGTAAGTGTCATCACAATGCAGACCACTTCATAATTTTTTAATGTGTGTACACCGGTGCTTTGGACTACTCTATAACCTTTTGTTAGGATATCCTTTCCCTTAAAAACTTCTGTGATTTTTTGAATCAACATGAGGAGCCAAATATTACAGGGATTAAACAAAACTGGCAAAAAATGAAAATTATTCTAATTTTTTTCCTTCAATAGGTCAGAAAAAAGCAGGGGCATTTTGAGTTAAGATTACTTTTCATGGAGAAGCAGATGATAAGTCCTTGTTGAATGAGTGAACACCAAAAAGAAAATCTTTGGAAAGCAATTACAATATTGTGTCTAACAAAAAGGGATATGCAAGCAGCTGCATGAGTTTTCACTGACTGGCCTGGTGGTACACATCATTAATCCCAGATGCTTAGGAGGGAGAGATGGAAGGACTGCAGGTCAAGGTCAATTTGGGGAAACTCAAGAGGTAGAGCACTTTTTACAAACGTGAGGGTCATGAGTTCAAACCTCAGTACCCCCGAAAATGATGTTTTTCTTTTCTTTCCAACCTTCTTCCCTTCTTTCCTTTTTTTTTTCAGTGTTACAATTGCAGATTGAATCCATTCTAGGCAGCTTCTCTAACACTGATCTATATCCTCGGGCCACATTATATTTTTTCTAAACCAGTTTAATCCATGGGTCCTAGTTTTTGGATGGTAGAAATATTTTTATTCAGGATCAGATGGGTAAATATCGGATACTTCTTCTTGGTACCTCTTTTATGGACATCATAGCTTCAAGTTGATGACTATTGAACTCACGCAGTTGCTGGGGAAACTGTAATGTGTTTGTGCACATGCCATGCAATATATGAAACAATGGGATATCTGGGATGGTCTCTTTAGTCTTTGTATTAAACCTCAGTAGATATTGAAAATGTGAAGACTATTTTAAATCATCTTTTTTTAAGTGCAAAATTCTGTGATTTTTAGTAACTTTACTGAGTGGTGCAGCAATTACAATAATCAGTCTTAGAACATTTTTATTCCCCCAGTAAGAATAACACCCCATTATGGTTATTTCCATCCCCACTCCTGGGCCTAGGAAACTGCCAATCTACTTTCTGTCTATAAGTGTGCTTTTTTCGCATTTAATATAAATGGAATTACACAATATTTCTTATTTATGAATTCATTCTTTTTTTTAAATGATCTTTAAGTTTTTTTTCCATTTCTTTAGGATATATTCATTGTACAGAGAGATTCATTATGACAATTCTGAATAGCTTTACATTATACATTATACATCTTACCCTTCACTTCCACAAACCCCTGCCCACCTCACTTAAACAAGAGATTTCATCATTCTATTTTGTATTTGCATATGAAGTTCATCAACCATATTCCTTCATCTTCATCTCCTCCATTCACCTCCACTCCCACAAGCACCCCCTCAATGTACCTATTTTACAGTCCTCTCTTTCATTTTTAATTCCCAAATCAATGTTCAAAGGGGTTTCTCAAGTATCCCCACTGTGAATGTACTTTACTTTGGCCATTTCAACCCTTCATTACTCTCCCTTCCTCCTTACTGCCATTAGTGAATAGCTTTCAATGTATATCATTATATCCTCCACCTACACAGATGTAGTATATTTTAATATTATTGACTCTATCATTATCTTTTCCTTTCTCTCTTCTTCTGAGTTCCATAGAGTAGTTCCACTATTGCAAACATGTTCTACATTTAAGTTTGTATATGATCATGTTTATTTTTGTGTATATGTTTATGTTTTGGATCTATCTTCCACATGTGAAAGAAAACATGTGGCCTTTGTCTTTCTGAACCTGGCTTACTTCACTTAACATGATGTCTTCTAAATGCATCCATTTACCTTCAAACCATGTGGTTTCATTCCTCCTTATGGCTGTGTTATCTTTATATCTATCTATCTATCTGCTTCACATTTTTTAATCCATTCATTAGTTGTAGGGCATTTGGATTGTTTCCATATCTGAGCTATTTGTGAACAGCTTAAGCCATCTTTTTTGTTAACAAATAGAGAAGTTTGGCTATCTCACAGGCATTTGAAAAAAATTATTCTAAAGATATTTTTTATAGCTAAACAAAGATATTTTATATAAGGCTTAATTTTCCTAGAGGAAAGAGGTATACTATGTAAATGGGAAGTACAATGGGGTAGTGAAATTACACCTTACTGGCTTTGAATGCCTCAGAGCAGGCATGGCAGAAATCATGATGCCTTTTAATTCTTTGGTCAAATGATTAGTAGGCAATGCTTAAAAGATTTCCAATTTGAAAAATATATTAACAGAAAAATAAAAGTTTACATATATACCAGAATCTGTTTAATTAGAGAGAAGAAACTGACACATTAGTTTGCTTGCAATTATATTCATTTTGAAGAAGTAGGCAAGCATAGATGAAGTCTACTACATAAGCTTGATTTTGACCACTGACCTAAGGATTTCTTCTCAAGTTCTTCTTGGCAAAACAGAGACAATAATGGCTTTACATGCAGTAGATGACAGATGAAGAACTAGAATATATTTAACTCTATTTAAAGCTTGAGGAACTTAAGTTCAAAGCACATACAGGTTTAAGGTCACTTGCTTTTTAGTGGAAAATAAATTCTAGAATAACAAGTATAACAAAATTAAATTGGTGGAAAAAATTTAAGAGCCTTGTCAAGTAAGTTTCATGTTTTCTTTTTTAAATATTTGGTTTTTAGTTTAGCTTAAAAATGTTTTTCTTTATCTTGGCTCAAGATCATTTATACTCAGTTTTTCTTAAGAAACTTGTGGTTTTAACATTAAGTAGAAAATAATCCGGCATGTCATGATTTGTCTACTACCCAATATAAACATTTCATAAATTTTTGGTGACTTAAATTCATATTCTAAATATAGCCACAGTCTTCTATAACCTAGGAAAATGTCAGGGCTTTGTGTGACCGTGCTCAGCACTGAGGTAATAGAGAGGTTTCTATCTTGAATGTCTATAACAGCATTGAAAGAAAGACTGTATTGAGTCTTATAAATTTTAAGATAATTTCCACAAGTTTAGTTAATATTTTAGTTTAAGTCTTGAAGAAATACAGCTTAAAATTGGCTATTTAGTAGCTTCTCAAAACAGTAAGCATGCCTACTCATATTATTTCCAGCATCTGCTTTTTAGCATGTGTCATTGACTCTGGTAATTCAGGTGAGCTTCATCTGTCACAGGGTCATCAGGTTTGATTGCTGCTTGCAACATCATTTTCTAAGTCAGCTTTTCTGGTAAAGTAATGGAGGTTGTTGGGTGTTAGGTGATTTCATTTCATGTCACTGTTCATTGTAATTATCTGCTATTACTATAGGGTACTTTAATAATCGTAACTTAGAAAAGCTTATTTCTTCTAAGTTTTTCCAAATGCAGAATTCATATTGCTCATACAGGTAGGAAATTAGCATTTGTGTACATTTTTATATGCATCTGTAGGAAGTAGCAATGAGAATTCTATCTGTACAAATGCAAATATACAAATGGTTCTTAAGAGCTCTGCCAAGGGATCCCATAGATCAGGAAAAATCCAATGTGATGACTCAGCTTTCTTTTTTTATGATTCTGCTTTCTCACCACAATTTATGGTGTCATTTTAAACTTATGATGTCTGACAAGTATTTCTTTAAGAATATCAATACATATTTTATGAAACATAGACTTCACGATGATAGACATGAGTCACTTTTCACATAAAAGCCTAGAGGATAAAAAAATTGGACAAAGTTTACTTTTTAAAAAATGGTTCTTTTCCTATTGGAAATAAGCTTTGAATGGAAAAAAAGGTGAGAAGGCCTTTCAGATGACTCTGGAACCGAAAGTGAAGGAGCTTGTTGTTCTTCATCTTCTTTGTGTCTTTATGTTTACTGACTTTCCCATATGATATTGTCATTTGCTTAAGCCTACTGCTTAAAAATACAAAAGCCTCAAGCCAAGAAGACATTTGTATTGCTGGGAGATGGTGTGAGGAGTTCCCAGAGAGACCTGTTTTCCTTAGTTACTCTGTGAGGTAAATCCATATTTATCTGAAACAGCACTAAATGGATCAAAAATTATTTTCTAAGGAACATTCTTCAAAGATAGATGTACCCTCTCCCAGAATGCATAAAATCTTGTATAAAATGTTGAATGAAATTGGAACATCGAATCACTTGAGCTCTTTGGAATATTAAATTCATGTTTTGGGTGGAATTTTGTGGCTGATAAAAATAGGCGGTTATCCTCATTATGACAGCTAGTGGTGTGGGGACATGTTCTAATTCAAAACGAACAAGAATATGTTAGACAGATATAACAAAGTAGTGTCATTCATTCCAAATATATGATACAGCTGAAAATCAGTGGTTTAGGAATTTCCACAAAGTTTATCCTCTTTGTAAATTACCTTCTTACAGAAGTTGCAGTAGTGAGCAAACTCCTTCTCAAAACATGACACACAGTAATTGCCACTCTCTTTGGAGATCAAAGGCTTTGTCCCTATTGGTTGTCGGCAATGCTCACACACAAAGCAGGTTTCATGCCAGTAGTTTCCCTTAAATTCCATTTTGCGAGAACCTGAATTCCAAACCAAGAACCTGTTAGTACAGTTCAGGCATAACTTTATTTTCTTTAAGCAAATATAGATTAAATTACTTAAAACATATTTTAAACCTAAAAGTGATAGATTAATTATCCTTTTAGAAAAGTAACATTTTGCCAGTTTCAGAAACATTCATTTCAAGAAAGGAAAATTAACATAGCTCAACTATGATAACAGCGAATCATGCTTTCTGGGAAACATCTTGCAAGCCCTGCATAAGCTACAACTGGAAGATTTGACAGCACTTTACATGGAGACTCTGAATGGCTCATGGTTTAGATAAATTGTGTCATAATAATCATTACAGGGATATTAGAAACACCCAGGATGCAACTTCTGTGATTGTGCAGTTATGGTCTCTGAAATTATTTGAATCCATAATAAGAAAATGTGTGTGTGTGTGTGTGTGTGTGTGTCTCTGTGTGTGTGTGTGTGTGTGTGTGTGTGAGAGAGAAAGAGAGAGAGAGAAAAAAAAAATGAATGTCATGTTCTTATGGTACTGTTCATAAGAATAGAAAAAAGCACCAAAAATAGTGAGTCAAAGCTTGTCAAAAGTGGAGTGATTTACACGGACCCTTCTCTTCACTAAGAGAGAGAATAATGACCGAACCTGCAACCAGCTTGTGTAGAGCTATATGACCAGGGCAGGGTATCTACAGTAGTAGTATTTGTATAAACTTTATCTTTACCCTAGAGCTTAGGTTCTGATTCAAAAATTAGGTTTTATGAAAATGAAACACTGAACACTGTAATAAAATTATGGAACACTATAATTTACCTGCTGAAGAATAATGAATGAACAAAACTACACAAAATTAGATCAAGAGAGCGCAAGAAAGATGCCTTTCTCAAACCTAAGGCTTTGCGAGCTGCTACACTTTTCACAAACTGGTACTTATGAAAAGCCTCGTGGTTCCCGTTCCATTAGAGCCAGGAGGAGCTCCTTGAAGATCTTACCAGGCATGATGGTCCTCTTGCAGTGGAAGCACTTAGAGGAGCACTCGTTAGAATAGCACTCTGTGCAAAGCAGGCGCTCATCCTTGGCAACGAAGGGCTTTTCCACCAAAGAGTGATTACATTTGGTGCACCTGAAGCATTCTTCATGCCAGTGCCGGGTTTTGTAGCAAAGATCCTTGGTGACAGTAAATAAAGGTTAATTAATGTATTTGTAACAAAATGGGCCGTTTTTTAAGACAAAACTGAACACTCCTGAGACTCTAGCACCAGGATTTTGTTCTATACTAGCTTGAGGGAAAGTTGTTATTGATACTGCTTTCTATGTAGAGGAGACTCTCTGGGGTAATTAAGAGATAGAGCCTGGGGCTTTTTTGGTTTGGTCACTGAAGTCATCTGGAAAATAACTTACTCTTCTATTTTTTCAAATAATCCCTACCTTCCTTTTATAACAGACAAAAGAGACTTTTTATGAAATGGTTTTTAATTTTTAGCCTGCAATATCCTATTATTCTTTGAGTTTAACAATTAATACTATCAATTGAAGTAAAAGAAAAAAGAAGAAAAGGAAAGTAAAAAGTGAGTATTGTAGACGGTATGTGGAGGGATTTAGTTGTGGAGAGTTAGAAGAGGTAAGGTTGATTCTTTAAATTGGACAGTTCAGATTTTGAATCTTCACCTCTCCCATTACTTATGCAGTTATATATACCCTTGTATTCCAAAAGTAACTTTGGGGAAATAGTTCAACTTCTTTAATCTTTATTATCTTTTATTATTCTCTCTCTCTTTCTTTCTCTCTCTCTCTCACATACACACACACACACACACACACACACACACAACTACTCAGAGGACAATGTGGGGATTAAAGCATGGAGTTCGTAGTGCTAAGCATAGTGGCTGGAACTTGAATTAATGGTAACTTTTAGGATCTTCATACACAGTAGCAAGTGTGTTAAAAAGTCAACATTAAAGGAAAACAGGCATTCTTAGTCATTATTCTGCTACTCATAAGCTGTTATTGTTTGAATTGAGGGGAGGCTTACCTTAGAACATGATTCAATCGGCTCTTTGCACTGCTCACAGTGGTTAGAGAAGATACGACGGTAACAGGAGGCACAGTATAGACTGTCATTCTTGAGGACACACTTCTTCCCCAGAAGTGATGCTGTGCAGTATTGACAAGCAAATTGAGATGTCATTTTGGTTTGATCCTGTGAATAAGAAAACAGTTCTTGTATATAAAAGCAAAGTTTTGTTTATGAATGATAAGCCCTCAATATAATGTGAGTCAAGCACTTGAACGAGTTCACATTTTTTTAAGCAAAATCCACCAATTTAGGAAAATATGCTTGTAATTATGGTGAAAGAGTGATTTAAGAAAGGTTATTCTTCCATGTTGGCAGTTCTTGTGTTTTGCTAATAACAACAACAACAACAACAAAAATCCCAGCCAGCAGATTGTAAAAAACATGTTGTGTTCATTATGAGCTAATGTGGAAGTCAATGAGAATGTGACATGTGTTGAAATAGGATGGCTAAGCTTCAAGGACATAAATATGACCTGATAATAGGCCTTATAATAGCTGTCACCACTTCTTATCTTGGAGAGTTCTGGAAGAGGCATTTGATGGATGTAATAGTTTCTTTTTTTTTTTAACTCAAACTTAAGTAGAAATTTATAGTCAAGTACATTGCCACCTTCTAGTCCTTTCTTTGACTCCTAAATTCTTTTACAATGTTTTTATTAGTTTATAGCAGTTTTACAGAGGGTTTCATTGTGACATTTCCATGTATGCATATAATATACCTCAGTTTGGTTCATCACCTCAATTATTCTCCCTAGTTACTTTGCATATTAATCCTAAGGTCTTCTGTTGGGACATCCTTCTTACCTATGACTTAAACCACCCTAAATATGCTAATGATTCTAAAAATTAGAGTCATCAGGTATTGCTAGTCCTGGACATCTCTACTTAAATGTCCTGTATCAAGCTGACCAAACAAAATTCCTCCATAGATAGGATTCAGTTCAAGTGCTAAGTCTTTGTGACTTGTTGAGCAATTGCCCAGATGGAGAATGCACACAAAACCACCAAAGGTAGAAAAACACCTGTAGGTTTCTTTAGGCTTTAGGGCTCAACTAACATGTGTATAGCATGAATAAAAGCAGCAGATAAAGACAGGGCACAGTAAAAATTCTGATTATTTTCATAAATTTAGGAATACCATTAATGAACAAAACACAGATTTCAGAAGTTCTTAAACATTGAAATGAAATTTTCATTACTAACAAAAGCAGTAGACTAATTTCCTTTGTAAAATAAGACTTGTAATCTCTGGATTTACTGAGGAATGTGAGTATTTTCTAATTCTCTCAGAAAAAATTTAATATTTTAACAAAATCAGAAGATCAGTTAATATATTTTTAAAAAATCATTTTGATGCTAGCTTATTTACTGTACTTAAACTGTTATTCTCAGATTTTATTTTACTTCTTAGTTAGAGATGAAGTTCACAGTAGACTACCTTGATGAATATACTTTGTCACTAATTCTGCATATATCATTTCTGCTATATTGTTACTCACTGTTAATCAGAGAAAAGACAGGATTTGGAACATGTGGGTCTTTTCCCAGGAAAGATGAAAATTCAGACTAGAAAGTTCCCAATGGGACATGGCCAAAATTATCTGCAAGGAACATTGAATTCCATATTTGATTAATTCCACAGAAATGTCCCTTCCTAGTGAACACAAACACATTCAAAGGGTTCCTGAGGGCTTGGAAACAGCAGGAAAATAGATCTGATTCTCTTGAACGTTTTAAGCTTCTATTTACATTTAAGGAAATAAGGTACCTTTACTTTCATCACTCAATAATAAAAATATTATTTAATTTTGGAATTGTTTAATAGTAACAGGAAGCATGGCCTCTCGAGTTAGGCATGCTCAAGCTACTTCTATCCTATGAAGTTTTTGCTATATTATAATAGCAAAAAAGACCAAAGGAATTTCAAATAAACAACCCTTGATTTTTATTTTTCTATTTGTTAATCTTTTTTATTATTGTTGTACTCAGGGTACATTGTGACATTTATCATAGTGAACAACACTTTAACACAACAGCATTATAATAAGTGTATCTTATTTGATGATCTAGTCAGAAGTCTAAATATAACTGTAAGAGTGGATAACCACAAGATGGGCTTTACTCCATACAAAATTCCCTCTTTGTTTCTTCTTCCTTTTCCTTCCTTCGTTCCTTTGTTTATTTGTTCCTTCCTTCCTCCTCCTATTCTTCTTCTTCTCTTTCTTTCTTTCCTTATTTTTTACTTTTATTGTTGTGCTGGGATACATTGTAGCATGTACAAAAGTTCTTACAATATATCAAAGATGTTACAGTTGAATTTACCCTCTCCATCATTCTCCTTTATCTTCCCTCCCCCTGTTCCTGGAATAGTGTCAATAGATCTCATTTTTCCATTTTCATACATGTATACACAGTATTTGCACCATACTAGCCCTCCTACACCCTTTCCCCACATCCTCCCCCCTCCTACTGATACTAGCCCCCCAGACAGGACCTGTTCTGCTCTCCTTCCATAGAAAATTCTTAACAAATTAAACATATTTCTTAATTTTTAAAAAAGAATAAAGTCACTTTCTTATTCTATTCTGATTTTTAAGAGTAGCAACATCAATGAGTTGAATGTAAACAGAATCAGCTCAACGGTTTAAAATCTTGTGATTTTTGCATTTATAAGACTATACAGTAGATCAGGCATTTAGTTCATACATGTCAGCAGTTATTGAATCTTTATTCAATGATAATTGAATTCTCTGCCCTGAAGAAGTCTAGTTTCTCTTGTCTTACTTATTTGCTACCTGAGTAATAGTGAATAAAATTTGGCATAAGAGCAAACTAAATGTTTACTTTCTTCTTCCTGGTTGAAAAAACACACTGAGAAAGTTCTCTTTTTCATGAAGTCTGTCATTTAGCTATGAAGATGTAAATATGTTGAAATAGTTTCTTAAAAATAGAGGTTTCATAGCCATATAAATGATGCACAATCTACTAGAAGCATATCAAATTCTCAGGGAACTAATAGAAAGGAGAATGAGGAAAGCTTTTTCTATGAAGACTTTAAGGAAATTCAGTTACTGGACATCTGTTAGAGAGGAAGGAAAGAAGCAAACAAGCAAACAATTACTTTTAAGTTATCAAGGAGAGAAAAGACAAATTAGAGAACAGCACAGATCTCATCTGCAGTTGGGAAATGAAGAATCTTATAAACAGGATTTCACTGGTGTACATTAAGGAAAAAGGAAGACCTTGAAACTAAAGCTTTTGAAGCTATTTGAACCTCTTACTAAATGGTGAGAGTGGACAGGAGAGGCAAGACTACACATTTTTAAAGAATAACACTTTTTTACCACCTTAATGTTTTATAAGCATCATTTTGAACTTTTTCTTCTTTATCACTAACATTAAATTTTTAAATACTCAGGGAATAACTGTTTCCAGAAATAAGGATAAATGGCCTGGTTTTAATCACCACCTAAGAGATAAAGCTATAGGAAAGAGGATGGGAACTATGCAATTTTTGTCTCAGGAATGCTTACCTGAGTGTTATTTTATCAAAGATATTGAGAAACATTTTGCTTCTGAAAATTTAAACTCTTTGAGTAAAGCTGATTTATATCAATGAACCTTAAGAACTATTAATGCTAATAATGCACCCTGGTTGAGTAGCATTCAACATTTGTCCATGTGCAGTGCTAGTCATTTACTTGGATCTGTAATTTAAACATTTTTGTCAAACTTTCAAGCTAGCGCTGCAATTGATACATGTAAGCCCAGGATTTCTATCTTTGCATATTGAAGTTTTAGAAGATTGACTTAGAAGAACAATGATATATCAAATAACATACAAAAATAAATAGCTCAGAAATAGGTATAAATGGGCCTGGATTTTTACAGTTCTCTCCTTTAAGTTTTAGATTTCTACCCAAAAGGATGTGAATACACTGCTAATAGTTTGCATAGTTGAGAATGCTATTTTTAGGTGTTATATTTTTAAACCAAGTTATATATTATGATGAGAAGGCTAATGCTGTGAGAAATGTATCCACTTATAACTTTACTATTATTATGAGCAAATGAATAGCTTCACAACGAGTATACCTGAGAGCATGTCAAGCAGGAGAGAGGCAAGGAAAGATGCCATGCTTGTTATCCTTAATATGCTCTTGTTTGCAAGCCATCACATACCATTCATTTATTCATGGGTTCAATAAACATGTGAACCATATGTATTTGCAAAGTAATCTGCTAGAAGCTGTAAAGGACATAAAAATACACATATCCCATCTGCAGAGTAGGGAGAGTAAGGCTATGTTATAAATATATATATATATAAATACATTTATAAATATATAAATATATTTATAAAGATATAACTATGTTTATAAATAAATATATAAATATGTTTATAAATAAATATAAAGAACTAAACAAAAGGTAGGAAGTGATAAGAAAAGTTCAGAGCAGTGGTTCTAAACTTTACAATTTAAAAAATGTCCAGAGTTCACCCATATCCCAAATCAGAATTTCCGGGATTAGAGACTACAAATAAACAATTTTCAATTCTTAAATAATTCTAATATTTAGTGAGGGCAGAAAATCACCAACTTAAAAAGGACAAAGATCAATTCCTTTTAGCAAGGAGGAATTCAGGAAAAACTTGGATGACTGGCATTTGACTGGATTGTGAGACAGATATTGTGGATTGACTTTCCTGATCTCAGTTCTCTTCTCCTACTCTTTGGAGAGATCAGAGAGATGAAAGCATCTTCTGGATCTTCTTATAGTGCATATTTAGGAGACAAATTTGGCTCTGTTAGCTCAAAAATTAGGAGGTAGATGTGAAATGAAAGACATGGTCCTGCTGCTGTTGATAGTGGCAAGCTGGGCCATAAAGATGTAAGTAGTCTCTGTTCACACAAAGTGCCTGGAGTTGATTTATCAAGGTCTAGTGACTAGTTTTGGCTGTGAGAAATAGTAGTGGTTGTGGAATTGGAGTTGGCAATAGAAAGTCTCTGATGTCTGGGTCACAGGACAGAATGGATATGTAAGCAAGCAATGTGCAATCTCTACCACCCTTGGTGTACTATAATATTAGTAATGGTATCTAATACCCCTGCTTCCTGAAT